GGTGGCGAGTGTGTTGTCAGCTTCACCAGTGACTGTATTTGCATCACAATGGAACTGGTCCCCTGCAAACTCAGTCATCCGGTGGATGTACGTTTCGTCCATCATTAGAGCACACACTGTGTCCTTTCCCTATTCTGTTTGCCTCCACATGACTTCTCAGTGCTCTGAAAGATGCTGCTGTAAATCCAGGATCAGCTGAGACACTACACAGTGTGGATGGTGTGACTGTGTGGCAGTGCTTTATTAAAATTCTCATGCACATACTCGTATACCTTTGTACCTTTTTTGGGGAGCAAAGAAAAAGCAAGAAGGTATTGGAACCGGAGAATGAACGTTTTGCAGTGCTGTAAATGCTTGCGTTTGATGCATTACTTGGATTGTTTTGCCACGAGTACCCAGCATGCAATGTGCGAAAGTCACGTGCAATTACCTTTTTCTTTGCCCCCAAAAAAGGAATGTACAAAACGAAGGAGAACAATGCCGGTCCGTACAAAGACAGACTCGACGAAAATGCAAAGAAAAGATATGAGGAAAAAATCAAAGGAGTGAAAGGATCAGACCCTTACGAGCACACAGAGTGGACAAAAGACGTTAGCGTGCTGCCCAACTTTCACCACGCTCATATTTATAACTATACGGTTCTTGGAGTGAGTGCATACACATACACAAGCCCAGATACAGTTTACCGACAGATGGGTACAGGACTTTGAAAAGCACCGTGTAGAACGAAAGTTTACCTTACAAATCATCCTCATAAATACACATTCGTTAACCGTTTATTAATAGGACCTTTAAACTCAACGATAATGAATTAGTAGTGGAAATAATTTTTGGTACTGATTACAGAAATGTAGTGTAACCGGTGTGCTTCTGTGTTGTGTCTGATAAAAAAGGTAAAAGAAAGACCTCCAAGTAAATAATTTACCCACTCCAGCTCCTCTCCCACAGGGGAATTGTAGAAAAGGGGAAAGGCAAAAGGGGTACACTGTATTTATAGTATTGCACCAAAGAAAAGAAGAAAAGAATGAGGAGGGGCTCTAATTGATAATGAACATAACTACAGGCTTGGAGGTCCTAAAAGTCAGGTATAAAAGGAGCAGTTTGGGGGTTTAGAACACATTTTGTGAAATTATAACAATGTGATTTATGACTGTTACAGTAGCAGTGACAATAATATTGTATGCTGTAATCCTACTGGGTTATTAATGATACAAAAAT